TAGGCTATGGCTCAAGTGGTAGAGTGCTAGCCTTCAATGAAAAAGCTCATGAACAGTGCCCAGGTTCTAAATTCAAGCCCAGGCAGTACCAGTGTGCACACACACACACAGGGTTTTTTTTTTTTCTATTTACCACAAAATTGAAAAATCCATGCATTTTACCCATTCCATGGTTTATATATGATATATATGTGGTATAACACATATCTATGTGTAAAGCCTGGTACCTGTCCCTTAGCTTTTTAACTCAAGGCTGGCACGCTATCATTTGAGCCAAGGTCTCACATCTGACTTTTGAGTAGTTAACTGGAGGTAAGAGTCTCAAAGATTTTTCTGCCTGGACTGGCTTAAATCACAATCCTCAGATCTAGCCCTTCTGAAAAGCTGGGATTATAGACATAAACCACCAGTGCCTGGATTATTTCACATGTTTTAAAGCATTGTTCAGGAAAGTGCTTTTTTTTTTTTTGGTGCTGGTCTTGAAGCCTATAAGAACTTACTTAATTGGGGGCTGAGAAGGTGGCTCAGTGGTAGAGCGCTTGCCTTGCATGCTTGAGACCCTGGGTTCAAATCCTCAGCACCACATAAGCAAAAAGAAAAAGCTGGAAGTGGCGCTGTGGCTCAAGTGGTAGAGCACTAGCCTTGAGCTGAAGAGCTGAGGGTTAGCACCCAGGCCCAGAGTTCAGGTCCCACGACTGGACCCCCCAAAAAAAGAATTTAATTGGATTATTATCTTGAAGAACCCATGTTGGGCAAAATCAATCTCTCAGGAAATCTAAAATAATGTACAAGTGATATAAACAAATATTATCCGTTCTTGTGGTTGCTTTATAATGATGCCTTATAAGCATAGTGCACTATTCATTGTATAATAGTTCTTCTTATATTTTATCACAATATGCATTCTGTGGCTTTACAGATAAGAAACCAAGTCTCAGGAAAATTACAGCTTCTCCAGGTAGTAAATAAGAAAGCACACATAATATTTTTGAGGCAAAAGAGTGAAATTACAATGATGAATTTCCTCTTTCATCAGGTTTTACCAGGTGCATTTGAAGAACCGCAGTATCTTATCATGTAACCAAACCATCCAGTGTTTCTCAAATTTCTGCCAGGCACCAGTGGCTCACACCTGTAATCCTAGCTATGCAGGAGGCTGGAGATTTGAGGACCATGGTTCAATGCCTGCCCACTCAGGAAAGTCTGTGAGACTCTTACCTCCAATTAACCAGCAGAAAACCAAAGTGGTGCTGTGGCTCAAAGTGGTAGAATGCTAGCCTTGAGCAAAAAAGCTCAGGATCAGCACCCAATTCCAGAGTTCAAGTCGCAGGACCAACAACAGCAACAAAAATTTCCCAAACTTCTCTATTGAACTGTCTCATCACAAGGTAGAATATCCTATAGGGTCTGTACGATAGTCCACCCACCCAAGGGCCATGGTTTTCGCAACATTTTTTTTTTGTTTGTGATATGCTCAGGTGAAATGTATGCATGTGTTCATTTAAATCAGAAAAGGTTTCTCAAACTCTACATAGAAATCCTCCCTTATCCCAGGTTTCCATTTCTGCATTCACTCATGCTTGGGAAATGTAAAGTGGAAAATTCCTGAAATAAGTAAGTCAGTAAGATTTTAATTGTGTGGCCATTGTGAGTAATATGACAAATGGTGGGACTCTTACACTGTCCCACCCAAAAGATGAATCATCCCTTTTGCCCTGCATATGCAGGCTGTCCACCCATTAGTCCCATGTTGCATCCTAATTTTCCTGTGAAAGTTCTCATCTACCATTTTCATCACAAGCAGGTTTATGGTGCCGAAGAACCACTTTTCTTCAGCTGTGACACACAGAGAAGTTTCTTTTGTCCGCAGCTGTGGGAACTGCATATTGAAAACTGGCAACTAGAATTTTATTAGCACAGGAGAATACGAGGAGCTTACATTATTTCATACGGGAAATAAAGAAAATTTTATTGTATCACTTGTTAGACATGCAATGTTTTCCATGTACCTACCTGTTGTTTTTTAATACAAAAGTAACAAGCAGTTAAAAATAGCTATTACAGGGGCTGGGAAGGCGGCTCAGTGGTAGAGTGCTTGCCTTGCATGCATGAGGCCCTGGGTTTGATTCTTCAGCACAGCCTAGGCCCAGAGTTCAGGCCCCAGGACCAACCCCCCCCCAAAAAAAGCTATTACAAGAAGAGAGGTTCGGTTTTTTTTATATCAAGTACCCCTTCCCCATAGAGTTATATGAAGGACCATTTGAATTTGGGGCTATTCATCAGTAAGGTTTTGTACCTAATTTGGTTTCATCTTGACTGATGAGCACTTGAGACCAAATTGAAAAACTGTAGGATTTTAAACTTCTTTTCATCTGAGATTAAATACTCCACTAATACCTTGCAAATAAGTAAAACTTAGCAAGATTCTCCCTTCTATTAGTTTTGAATAGTTACTTTCTGCATTACAAAGCTTCAAATAGTTATAAGGCAAAGTGTTTTTATCCTCATTGCAGAAACATTAAGGGTTATATAAGGACTTTTTATATAAGCTCTTTAACCCTGAAGGTTCTTAGTTGGAACTGACCTCTCATACAGAAGATATATCAAAATAGAAGCTTGTAAATGCTTTGGGTTTTTGTTGTTGTTTGTGGGGCATGAACTCAGGGCTGTCCCTGAGCTCTTTATACTCAAAGCACTCTACCTCTTTGAACTACAGCTATACTTCTGGTTTTCAAGTAGTTAACTGAAGTCTCAGGAGGACTTTTCTGCCCAGGCTGACTTTAAACCATGATCTAAGCCTCCTGAGTAGCTAGAATTACAGGAGTGAGCCACCAGCACCCAGCTTAAATGTTTGTTTTTGAATGCACACCTGGGGGTTCTTCCAAGAAAAGTGGTCCAAAGGAGTTGCTAAAACTTGGGGCCCATGTACCTTAGTACATGTAACTTAGTATGGGGAAAGAGAGCCAAACAGAAAAGACAATCATTGAAAAATGAATGATTTTTTAAAATAGCCTTAGAATAGATGGGGTATATGACAGCTCTCAGCAAAGTATGTTTAGGAATGGTGCCAACTTCTCATTTCTGAAAAGAGAAAATCAGAATTGCCTCCATGGAGATGCAACCAAATTAAAATGTTGAGTTCTTTGGTGGGGGTGGGGAGGAGGGACTCCCTACTTTTAGACAAATAAGGCATTTGAGGAACTCAAAACAACACCTCTGTATAAAGTGACATATTTTAGGGTAGCATATGCTGGTCTCCTTCAAAAGAAGGTTGTACAACCAAAAAGGCTTTGATTCGAAGGTTCTGTCCCCTCTGATGCCAAAAGTGTCATTTTATCATCCTTTGCTTCTGAGTGTATTTTTTTGTTTTTGCTCATGTTGTAATTTGGTCATGTCTTTTTCCCTTGTGTTTAAAAACAGCCAAATATAGGAGCTGTTTGTTTTATAAATAATTGTTGAGCTTATACTAGACACTGAACTACCTTACCATTTTACAAAACAATAAATACTGCCAGTAAGAATCAGTTAGGAAAGAAGGCTTAGGGAAGATACAGACATTTAACAAGATATTCTACCAGAGTTGCTGAAGTATCAGAAAAGAACAAGTTTGTTTCTTTGCCCCGGAGTGGCCAAGGGAGAGATCTATTCTGAGTTCCTTGTTGCTGGCTTGGGCATGTATGTGCATCCATGCATGGCATGGCGTGCATGGCTTGGCTCCCTGAACCATTAAGAAAGGGAGCAGTAAGTACATAATCACACCTTGGGGATTTTTTAAGTTTAAACGTTTGATTTTTAGGAAGTTTTACCCTTCAGTTTAAAATAAATCCAGAGATACCAGATGGATCTATGTGTCCGGAACCTAGAAGTTTGGATAGAGACCTGGGATTCCTCACCATAAAGCAGAGTTAAGAGGTGAAACTTGGAACACAGGATTTTTCTCAAAATAAGCATTTCAGTCCCTGTCTCTATCTCTGTTTCTCTGTGTGTCTCTTTTTATCTGTCATTCTCTCTCAAAAATAAAAATAAAAACCCCAAAAAACAATTGTAATGGAGTGTTCTATAGAGGGGCCTAGTAAAGCAATGACCATACTAATAGGACTTCAATCAGTTTTACATAGGGCAACTTCATAATGATGGTCCATTTGAAACATATGTCCTCCTGCAAAACCCACCCAACTAGGAGAGCTTTTCTAGCTTTAGGGGAACCAGTGGAACTCAACTGAGATAGATTGAGCACTAAACCTTGGCGGAATAGAAGGGCCAATGTCAGAGGAACTGTAGAAATGGATTTGCAGGAAACCCCTGTCTCTTGAATTTATATATATTGAGCAAAGCCTTGAATGATAGTACGTTGGGATTCACTAACCTCCATCAGAAAGCAATGTCCTGAGGCCAGTTGTCCTAGGATCTGACTTCTGGCTTAGCCTACAACCATCAAAATACCGACTGGACTCAGGCGTTATAGTGACTTCTCTCTGACCTCCTCATTCCACACATACCCCGCCGCAGCTCCCGACTCCGGCAGCCTAAGGATCCGAACTGCTTTTCTGCAGTTCTGTGTAACTTAACCATGATTCGGAATTCTCTGGTTTGGATTCGATCCCCAAGCTGGCCCTTTCTCTTCTATTCTGAACTCCATCTTCTCTTCCTCGGCTTTTCTCTGCAGAGACGCTTTTCCTTCTAACCTCAGTTTGGCTCCACTGTGAAGCCTACAAGGGAAGAGAAAAACAGACTGTGGAATCTGAAAACAAAGTGCTGGGATCTGAATTCTCCCTGGGATTACGAACCATCCACCAGAAAATAAGAATAAAGGGAAGCTTCAGAGAGGCCGGTAGAGGGCAGCCGAGGAGCAAGCCGACGACGAATGACGCAATGTCCGGGACGGGGAGGGCTTGGAGAGCTGCTTCCCGCGCGCGCGCCTCTGGTTTTCAATCTGGTCCGATTCTCTTACATATATAGCCGCTGAAAGCCTGTTTCACTTCACTCTGCTATCTGCTGTCTGCAATCTACAGCCACGATGTCTGGAAGGGGAAAAGGTGGAAAGGGCTTGGGCAAGGGCGGTGCTAAGCGCCACCGTAAAGTCCTGAGGGATAACATTCAGGGCATCACCAAGCCTGCCATCCGACGTCTTGCTCGGCGCGGGGGTGTCAAGCGGATCTCGGGCCTCATTTACGAGGAAACTCGAGGGGTGCTGAAGGTGTTCCTGGAGAACGTGATCCGAGACGCGGTCACCTACACCGAGCACGCCAAGCGCAAGACCGTCACCGCCATGGACGTGGTTTACGCGCTCAAGCGCCAGGGCCGCACCCTGTACGGCTTCGGAGGCTAAGCCGCCGCCCCGGTTTTGTCCCATTCCCAAAGGCCCTTTTTAGGGCCACCATGTGGTCATCGGGAGAGCTGTGCACGGCGCTGTAAGTTTAGGGGGCTAACATTGGTTTATGTTTGCTCCATTGGGGAAAAAATTACGCTGTTTCAGCGTGGCTAAGGATGCCTAGGTGATTGCAAAAGCAGTTGAAGCTTAAGGTGTTTCCTTTGCTAAAGTACTGTGCCTTAAGCCATTTCTGATGTGGTTCAAACCTGCAATCAAAGCTACTTCGGGGGTGAAATGTGAAAATTACGGTTCAAAGCTGGTCCACCACGGTAGCCCGTGAAATTCTAAATAAACGCCAGGAAGAAAAACTACAGAAGTGAAACTGGCTCCAGTGGTACATTTTATCCTTGAGGACAAAGGTTCAAGGACAGTGCCCTGGCCAAATTACAGCCCCAGGCAAAAAGGATGGGTTCCTTGAACTGAATTGTTCATCTTCCCGGCAAGGTTATTCTCGACTCCCTGTGTTTAATGAGCAGGATTAGAACTAGACTCCTCAGATGGTAGTTAACTTTCAATTCTGCCAGTTTGTCAATTTACCTTTTTCATTTCAAGCGTTTATTCTTTACCATTGTACGCAGTAATCCTTTCTGTGCACATTGAACAATGAATGCATTGACTTTTGGCTCCCCTCCAAAGGGTGAGAACTGATAGACCCGCTGGTTTACCATTTAAAAACAGACAAAAGAGGTTCGATCAGAGACTCCTCAAATGTTTAAGTGCTTACTCTGACCAGTGTAGTACTTTTTTTTTGATCCTTCAGAGACATACGCCTATAAAATGAACAGACTTGCTTTTGTGGTTTTGCAAGGGTGCAGATGCAGGCATTTTAATGTGATCCATAAAAGTCATGCAAACTAAAATCAAGCTGAATTAATTCGGGTATGTGATTTGTATCTTGCAATGAGAGACCTGTAGGGAAATACCTACCAGATATCCATTAGATGCAACTCCATTTTTGAGAGGTTGGTCACATCCATGCCAGGGGACCATGCTGAGGCAGGCAGAACAGGAGAAAGATTATTACAAGGTTTATTAGAGGAGCCATATTGGCCCTGGAGAGAGAGCACGTGGCAGCCTCCACTATAGGTAGCAGCTGGGTCTGGGGGAGAGGAAGCAGGAAGGTGAGAGTTCAGGTGGGTCTGGGCAGAGAGAGGGAGGAGCCATCTGTATGGTGGGAGAAGCTCAAGTATGGGTGGAGCTGAGGGCCAAAGGTGTGCATAATGCAGTTTTCACAAGACAAAAGTAAGTCATACCATACGAACATTGCCAAGAATACATCAAGCCATTCTCTACTTTTACTTCTCCATTTCTATCCTGATTGGGATTAAACATTGCCAGGTATACACACTTCTCGTTCTTAAACTTAGATTTAATTTAGTACTATTACATTCGCATGTGGAAACTTTTTAATACTTTATTTTTGCATTCAATGTATCAATGACAGTAAAATGTAAAAAAAAAAAATCTCAAATAGAAAATGGGATCGGAAGTTGTCAAAGAGAACCGTATAATTAATCTTTAGAGCATCCTCAGTGGCCTATCAAAATCTTGTAATAAGCCACACGGCAGTGGCTCACACCTGTAATCATAGCTACTCAAGAAGCTGAAATCTGAGGTTCGTGGTTCAAAGCCAGTCTGGACAGGAAAGTTCGTGAGACTCAACTCCAGTTAAACACCAGAAAACTGGAGGTGGTGCTTGTGGCTCAAGTGGTAGAGTGCTCACCTTGAGCTGAAGAGCTGAGGGACAGACCCAGAATTCAAGCCCCATGACCAACCCCACCCTCATCCCTCTGAGCCCCCCCCCCCCCCCCCCCCCCCCCCCCCCCCCCCCCCCCCCCCCGCAAAAAGTATCAGCAAGAAGTCTTTGAGTACCCTCTCTAAGCACAGGCTTCATTCTAGGCAGGTTATTCCATAGTTCTGAAACAACAGATCTTTCATCTGGGCCAGTAAACAGTAGCCTAGAGATCAAATACAATTCAGTAAAATTCCTCGACCCTTAGGACAATAACTTCCCCTTAGTCTGGTCCCGAGAAATTTAATACTCCGAATCCCTTGTTTTTCAATGAAGCATGCCCTGGTTTAACAACAACAAGAACCAGCCAGGCACTGGTGGCTCACACCTATAATCCTAGCTTCTCAGAAGGATGAGATCTGAGTATCCTGGTTCTAAGCCAGCCAAGGCAGGAAAGTCCATGAGACTCCAATTAATCACCAAAAAAAGCCAGAAGTGGAGCTGTGCACTCAAATGGTAAAGTGCTAGCCCTGAATATAATATCCTGGATTCAAGAGAGACTTGAAGACACCCAGTTAAAGGACCTAGGAACTTTATTCAGCTTCTTATCACCGGGAAGTAGGAGAATAGCGTTGAGCTCAGGGTAGGAGGGGTTTTTATAGGGATAGGTTACATAGAGTTATATAGACAAGGTATGCAAGGCAGATTTGACACATTTTCATTGGTTATATGAACTTTATTCTTTATGGTAAATACCATACGTAATAATTTGCAATAGGCTTCCCATAGTGAGACCACTCAGTGGTGGTCTTTAATTGGTGGGCTTAAGGCCCTGTTACTGAGTCAAGCAAGATTACAGGAGTAAAACATAGCAAAAACAGAGCCTTAAGTCACAGGAGCATCAGCAAAACATAATCTTGACTTGGTCAGCATGATCAATACTATCAATGCTATTGACACTATGACAGAAGTTATTTTTATTATAAGCTTCTGGCTACTGGTAGCACTCAGTGCAGCTGGTGATAAACCTCAAGGTTGTCAGTAGCCTTCGGCAAAGCTGACAGCTTGGTAAACTTGAGTGAGGGAGAGATGTTCTTTTGCTTTTTGTTTTTTCTTTACCAAGAGGTTTTGCCCTTGATCAATAATCTTGTTCTGTTTTGTGATTTCACATTTTAGTTTCCATGGATATTTTACCTGGGAAAAAGGAGTTCAGAGGAGAGAGTAAATTTCCAACAGCAGGAAGAACTGAGGCCAGACAATAGGAGGAACTTTCTGCCAGTTGAAGGGTTGCCCCAGGCCCATACAGACAGGCAAAATCCCAGGTATGTGTAAACTCATCTGAAGCACAGGCAGAGCAATCCACCTGAGCCCAGCTGTAAACATCCCATTGTGGCCCAACTGAAAGGCCCCACCTTCCTTGACCTAGTGGCTTTTTCATTCACCTCTGCCTACTTGTTCAGACCTCCTATCAAAACTCCTGTCCCAACTCTCTGGCACAACCTCCAAACCCGTGGAAAGCTCTGTGCCCCTCACTGTTCAATACACAGTCCTCACCTGTTGATAATCAAGTCCAGCCTATTCGTTTTCCATTCTCCTCCATTTTCCTATCAAAAGCCCAGAGACAGGCACGCATGCGCGCACAGGCACGCACGCACGCGCACACACACACACACACACACACGCACGCACACACACACACACACACAATCATGGTCACCCTAGAGATAACCCACTTTAGATTTGAAAAAGTATATTTTCTCCATCCCAACAAACTTTCTTGTCATTTTCACCACATGCTCATCTTGCCTAAATTCTCTCACCAGATGGAAGGTTTGAGTAGCTGCGCTGATTTTCCATTAACAATTTGACACCAAAAATTGGCAGTATATACTTGAAATACTATGTCAGCTCCCAAAAGACTAACTTGTAGGTCTTTGCATTTGGTTTTTACCAACATCAACATTTAAGGCAAACTAGGTTTAAAACATGGTCCTTGACGATGGAAATACCAGCAAGGCAAAGGATATAAGACTTGCCCTCCAGGAGCTTATATAAACCTAGGAAGACACACACACACACAATAGGGAGGCCCAATAGCACAAAATGCTACTACATATTAGCATGATGAGAAATGCAGATAATTACTGTAGGAACTTCCTAATGTGGTAGAAATCATTGCATTGTGGGAAATGGGGGAAACAGATGGGGCTTGTGACTGTGTGGGAAAAAGGGGGTGGGGGGAGCAAAACTCCTGGAATCCCATTGCATCATCCAGAAGGTAAGGAAAGAAGGAACAAGAGTAACATTTTTGATGATGTCAAGCTAAGAAGGCTTCTTATGCTCAGGATGCCTCATTTTCCTAAAATCTCACCTGAAACAGTATTTCTAATTCACATATTACTGTGATACTTTTTAACTTTAAAGGCTACATGCAAGCTGGGTGCCAGTAGCTCATGCCTATAATCCTAGCTACTCAGGAGGCGGAGACCTAACGATCACCATCTGAACCCAGCCCAGGCAAGAAAGTTCTTATCGCCTATAAACTTCTCAGAAAAAGCCAGAAATGGCTCCATGGCTCTAGTGATAGATCACTAGCCTTGAGCACAATGCGGCTCAGGGATTGCACCTGGGCCCTGAGTTCAAGCCCCAGGACTGGAATTAAAAAAAAAACAAAACAGGCAACATGCAGACAAATATATGATCTCACTGAGGTTCTATGAAGCAGTACGGAACAAAATATAGAAGACAAATCAATTTTTAAAATGAGGGAATAAGTGCACTAAGGACTTAAAGAGAAACTTCTCTGAAGAGGAAAGAAGGATGGCCAATAGACACATGAAGAAATGCTCAACCTCTCTAGCCATAAAAGAAATGCAAATCAAAACAACATTGAGATACCACTTCACCCCAGTTAGAATGGCTATAATCAAGAACTCTAATAACAACAGCTGCTGGAGGGGATGTGGATAAAAGGGAACCTTACTGCATTGTTGGTGGGAATGTAAACTTGTTGAACCACTTTGGAAAGTAGTATGGAGGTTCCTCAAAAGACTCCATATAATGCTCCCCTATGACCCAGCAATCCCACTTTTGGGCATTTACCCAAATGATCACAAACAAGACCATACTAAAGCTACCAGCACAACTATGTTTATTGCAGCATTATTTACCATAGCTAAGATATGGAACCAACCCAGATAGATGCCC